TTGCCAATAGATAACGACACTGCCTCGTTATCTGTGAGCTGACAGGCTGTCAATCAAACTCCCTACGTTTCTAGTGTAACTGACTTGCCTGCCGCCGGTACGTGGTTTACGTACGACTGTCACACAGTCCACAGACGCAAGACGCACAGACGCTGTTTACATCACCAACGCAACAGTTCTTAGCGCTTTTTTGACCTATATCTTCCTCGCAGTTCGCACAAAGTTTGTTGCAATGGCGACAAGAATCCAGGAGCAGTTCGCCGCAAAAGAAAGTCCGTTTTTGAGGTCGCTGAAAGAAGAAGACAAGGGGAAAAGCAGCGAAGCCAAACTAAGGTGATTTCTCGTTCCTTGGAAAATCCTCTATACAACCTTTAAGGAAGCATTTTACGGAGCTACATATTATAACTCAAACCTCACAAGCTTTTTGAGGAGTTAAAATTCTGTTTAGTGTTGCCTGTGTGCTCTGTGTATTAACATTGTCTATCACATCACAAATCTAGTAAATGGCCATAACTTCATCAAAAATCTAAATGAGTCCTATTCTAAAAAGAAAACTATTCAGTGTTGGCTACTTTTGCCCTGATAATAATGGTCTGTTTCCCCAAATCTTTGCACAGTAGTCAAGTTGAACATGATGGACCAATATCCTGCAAATCTTGTGAAACTCTCTTGTTTTTGTTAAGCAGAATAAAACACGCAACCGCACTGTACACGTCATACCCACGTCCCGTCCCGAGTCAGCACAAAATGTTTCAAGTTTTACCCAAATAATTGTGTTTTGTTTTGTTTTTGTCCATAATCCAACAGTACATAATCTAGCGTATGCAGGGATGTCAAAATTAACTAATTCATTGGAAAAATCTGGAAAAATTATCTACAATCTATAACAATAATGAATTAATTGTGTTTTAAAAGCAGCATTTGGTCACTTTCTTTGCTTTCTGAAAATCACTTAACGACATTCTTACTCCAAGTGAATTCCGGTTCGATTTCGTAACGCCGCTCACGTACTACAGGAATTATAATGTACTGGGACACAGGGAACGAAAACGATGAAGATTTTCCCTGTTGTTTGGTTATAATGTCAGTACTTGTGATTAATTGTGATGTTTTATCCAACTATAATTGCATGCCTGATGACGGCTTTAATTGTGTGTTAGTAAAATGTCAAAGGACTAAACAAAGGCTCCACTGTGACGAAGTTGTTTTAATGATATTCCACATAATTTTACCCAACACTGCGATGTTTGACAGTCATTGAGTTGTGCTTAAATTATCTCAGTCATTAGTCTAAACTTAAAGGTGCAATGTGTAATTTGTACATTTTAAATCACAATATTGATCTAAATTTAGTTAATAAAAGAAGCAAATTAATTATTGGATTTACAGTATATGACACCCAAAGAGCTTAACAGAGCATTATTTATTCACTCAACACTCTGTGGTGATAAGGTTCTTCTGTAGCCACAGCTGCCCTGGGGTACACTGACAGAACTGAGTCACTGATTGGAATTTGCGCCTTCAGCTCCTCCGACCACCATCGCTCACACACGACTTCAACAAGTTCGCTGACTTCTGCTTTAGAAAACTACAGAGCTCAGTTGGAGCTGACGTCACCGTAAACGTCGTTACAGCAAATGCAGCTTCTCACTGATTTTTTTTTTTTTACCAAAGTTGGATTTTGGTTTGATTTCATAAAGCTGGTCACATACTAGAGGAATGATGACGTATTGTAGTGTCGTAGTACTCAAGACTGGTCTTGGTCTCGAGTCTAGTGGTCTACGACACTACAATACTCTCGTCTTAGACTTGAGTGCATTTGGACTCGGTCTTGTCTCGGTCTTGATGACACTTGGCGGTAAATGTGCAGAGGCTGCTAAATATCACTACAAAACCAGTAAGAAAATGTAACTGTAAATGTTATGAACTTGAAAAAAACTCACTTAATTCACTTTGAAGATGTTTTCTGCAAAGTGTCAGTGGAAGTGGGATTAAAGAAGAGGCTCTCAAACTGTAGGTGAGGGTCCAAAAAAGAGGTGCAGAGTATTTAAGTGCAGTACAGTTTGCTTGGCTTATTTTAATCTTAAATGAACATTAATCAGATAAAATGGAGACAGATTTAGTGGAAAAAAAAGAAAAAAAAAACCATTTATATATAACTGTAAGATGCAAATAAATATAGAAAATGACAAAGATGTTCTTGATTTGGTCTCGATGAGCCTTGGTCTCGATGAGCCGTGGTCTCGGTCTCGACCCTGAGAGGTCTTGGTCTTGTCTCGGTCTCTTGACTGGTCTTGGTCATGATTACTACGCTCCAAACTACAACACTAATGTACTGGGACACTTAAGAACGTAAACAATGAACGATTTCTGTCTCTGAGGCAAATAACAGGTCAGATCTGTGGTGAGGCGACTCACTCACCGTAAGAATGCATGTTTCTCGTATTATTTTTGAGTAAGTATTTTTGAGTCATAAAATTGCCTGTAACTGATTGTGTAAGATAATTAAATGAAATGCAGAACAGAACAGAAAAACAGAACTAGTTCATTTGAAATGGTTTTCAGTGGTCCAAAGTTTATTTCTCATTTACCTCATACATTCTGAACATCCTAATTATTCACTGTGATGAATTTATAAGAGCTTTTTGCAGTTTCAGGTCATGCTAACGGTGCACTTCCTGATTATCGGACAATAAAACACTCACACATTACACGGCGGACTTATTTTGGTTTTAAGATCTGCTTGTACGCGGGGAAAAAACATCAAGTACAGGATCTTTTAAGCACTAAACCAAGACTAACTCTTTGTCTTAGATCTTGAACGTCATTTCTTTTATAACGCTTCCTGTCCTTGCCTCAACTCAACCAGAAGCTGTTTATCTCGAGTCCGACCGTGAAGCCGTCTTAACCCTTAACCCGCCGCTCTAATCCGGGTTTCGCTGAGTCAGGCTCCTTCGATTCACTCCTGAGCGTTTTTTTTTTGTGTGAAGTCGGAGTAAACACCGGTCTTTGTTTGGGACGGCTGTGACTAGTTTTCTGTTTTAGAGCTGGTAACAAAAAGACACTGAGAGGTTTAGTGGGGTAAAGGTTGGACGGAGGAAAAGACAGTTTTATTTTTGAATTATTGAATAAAAACCGTACTAAATATAGTTAAAGGCGCATTGTTTAACTTTAATAGTCGAAGTTTTTTCCCATGGAGATTTTATTGTTTTCCCAGTAACGTTTATTCAATTACACGTGTTTTTATTGCTTAAAAATAACACAAGCAGGGTCGCCTCTCCACAGATCTGACGTGTAACTTGGCTTAATGGTGTCACTTTTTGGTCTGCATGGAGATAAGAGAAGTTTTTTTTTTGTTTAATGCAAGATTCTGGAAGATTCTGGTCAAAGCAACAGCATCTCCACCAGAAAAATGACACAATGGACCTTCAACGTATATTAATTATATTTAAAATGTTTTTGTAGGTTTTCATTTTGAAGAAGTTTATAATCGTACTTCCTGGCTTGGCTAGGAAACCAGATATGACATGTTTAGAGATAATCCTGTAAGTTACCTAGCAACCGTAATGTAAACAAGCAACAAAACTTGTCAAAACTGTGCAGTATTTACGATAAGAGGAATAAAAAAACAAATGACAACGCCTTTATTTTGTAAAAAAAAAAATAAATAAATATTCATGCACTTTTAATGGGATTTTGGGGATTGGGTTCAGTTTTAGAACTTTACTTAGGAACTTTACGACTTTACTTTACCCACCAAACGAGGGATGGTACAAAATCTCGTATCACAAGATCATGCAAAAATGAGAAAAATAACCTTGTGAGATTTTTTTCCGTGCATTTACACTTGGACTGGACAAAAAAAGAATTACGTATTGTCGAGTTCTATCTCTTCTAGTTCCAAAAAGCAATGCTAGAATGGAAACAGAATTATTAAAGAAAATGTTAAAACAAATAAAAAAAAAAATGGTGAGGCCAAAATTGGGAATTTCCTCTGACACTCTCCTCCACCTCTTCTTCCTCACTTAAACCAACTTTATGACCATGATCACTGTATCTATGAATCTCATTTTTGACATTTACAGGTACGCTTTGTGCATGGGAAAATTATAATAAAATTACACCCTCACAAAGTCATTCACCTTTTGGTTGAAAATCTAAAAATGACCATGAACGCTCAGACTGATCACACTAAAAATGTGTGTTTAATATGGAGTTAGAAAGCTGTCAAAAATATTCGTGCCCATAAAATAGAAATCCGTGCGTATTTGGGAAATCCGGGCTAATTAGCAAATATCAGGTTCTCTGTATGTTTAGATTAAAACATTCACGGCTACAGCCACAGCGAGCATCAGCCAGTTATTCATCTCAGAATTCAAATGTGCACGGATTTCTATTTTATGCACACAAATATTTTTGACAGCTTTCTTACTCCATTGTTTAAATCCATTTATTATAATTTTTTTTGACTATTTTAAAGGTGCGCTGTGTAACTTTTGTGGTGGAGGGTCTATCAAATGCTTTTTATCCATGGAGATGTTCTTGCTTTGACTGGAATGTTCCACAGTATGGCATTAAACATTTTTTATAATTCATGGAGGCCAAACTAGACTGTGGAGAGTCGATCCCGTTTTTCTGAGTATTTTTGAGCTATAAAACCATTTAAAACTGAAATAAATGTAAGGTAGAGCTGTTTAATGTTACACTGTGGAACATTCCATGCAAAGAAATGACATATCCATGGAAACAAAAAGGTGGCTGACCCCCCCAAACAAAAGTTACACAGTACACGAACTACAGGCTCCTGAAAATGCACTGTTTAAATCCATTATATCTTATTTTTTCTTCAGTTTTCAGGCTTAAAACTTAAAACTTTTTTTCGTTTGTTAATTGTGCGTATTGTGAAACCTGCCGAACATCCTGCCTGTAGAGATACACGTAGGAAACCCCCAGCGTAAAGCATATGAAATGACTGCATGTGTGTTTTTTGTGTTTTGCAGGAGGTTTCTCTGTCGTTTTTCTCGCCCGGACTCACAGCGGCGTACGATGTGCCCTCAAGAGGATGTACGTCAACAACCTCCCCGACCTCAACGTGTACAAGAGAGAGATCACGATCATGGTGAGGAACGCTGACAAAAGCGGAACCTCATGAAGTGGTAGAAGTGGTTTAAACAAAAGCGCTGAAGTGATTTCTTAATACCTTTACCTTAAGTAGATGATAATGGTACTTTAACTTTTACCTGAGTGCAGTATATTTTTACACTTTTGCTTCAGTATCTGTATGTTTATTTAAGAGGTAAGACTTCTTCCACCACTGTTGCTCTGATATAATAACTTGACTTGAAAAATAAATAGATAAACAGTCAAGTCAGTCAACCAGGCGATGATGAAAAACCTTTACAGTCCATCATCACAAGATTACAGATGGATAGTTATACTAGTTTATTTCTTTCTTTATTTAAAACAAGAACAGTGCACTGAAAACACTGATCCCAGAGAGAAAAGATGATCTGTGTCAGATTTAACTACAAGCTCCTTTCCATGTGCAGTCCTCGGCCAGGTACAAATTACATTAAAAGACTATTTACATTAAACCGTCTCTAATATTCCAGTGACTAACGATGAATAAACACAATACAGTTCATCATTAAAACATGTAAAAATCCACACAATTTCAATTTCATCATCATCTTCTATAAATACTTCATTGTCGTAAATATCCTATAAAATGTTCACTTATCAAATTCATCTGTGTTATTATCTTCTAAAATACGATATATTTCAGATCGATTCGATACGGTTCAGTAAAAAATAAAGGCTAAATCATGGATGTGATATTAAAAGTTTACTAAAGCGCTGTCCACGCTAGTTCGTATTCGAGTTGTTTTGGTTGTGGATGCAGTGTTCGTTCACACTAATCTGAACGGAAAACTGCTCCAGAGACGGAACGATCTGGTGCCTCCAGCTCCCACAAATTCATATTTGTACAGAGCTGATGCTTCACTGTGTGGACACCTGAAAACACTGATACTCTGATGTAGTTCTGTGCGCCGCAAAGTAATTCACCGCCAAAACACTAAGAGTCTAGAACATATGTCCATTCATATAAACGTGTGTCTGTGTGTACGACCTGCAGACGTATAATCTCTGAAAAGTTTCACATGAACCAACATGACAGAAACACAGAACAGACTCACCATAAGCAGAACACCAGTCTGTCACAGAGAGAACACTCATATTCCACTGAGTCACTGTGTCCTTTAGTCCAACAGAACCTGAACAAGGAGCGAGCTGTTTTTTTTTTTTTTTTTTGAGCACTTAGTTTATGCAAATGAGTCATGCGGTTTTAAGTTTTGTTTCTGTAAAATGTAAACAAATATGCTCAAAGCTGTGTGGAGAGGGAAGTCTCGCAGACACAGAAACAAGGTGTCTGGACACAGATCGTTTCCTATACGGAGATTCATTTCAGTGTAAATGTAGCCTAAAAGTGTTTGTTAAACCACTTCTTGTGCAAAGTTCATGTGAAAAACTGCCATTTTAATCATCAAAATGTGTCTCACAAACGAGTTTCCTTCGCCTAAACAAGCCAGCTCTGTAACAAAATAATTTAGTAAAATATACCAAAAAAATACTCTTGGTGATATATCGATGCAGGAACCCACAGTATCGATTCTGTATCATCACATTAAACAATATGATATATCGATATTTCAATGTTTTTGCACTCCCCTCGTGTCCTCAATCTGCAGGTTAAAGCTCTGGAAACACCAGCTCCGTTGTGATTCTAGTATCGTTTTAAAACTGTAAGAACTCGGCCTACATAGAGCTCCTTTAATTACCTGCCTAAACCCCACGCGCTGGAACAAAGACCTGCTCCTGTGTCTATATTTGCCCGAGTCGGTCCAGACCTGTATCTTTTGTCTGTATTAACCTGCCTCGTTGTGTTGTACAGTTTTATTGAAGCAGTCTTTCTGGTTTGAAACGTGACCTGCAGCTCTGCACTCGCTGCGCCGCATCGTGTGCCGAGTTTTTTTTTTTTTTTGGCTGTTTCTCTGATATTGTGTGACGACACCTGCTCCATTCACCCCGCTCTTTTGATCTGATAAAACCTGTCATTTAGGCGTTCAGTTTTAGAATCCTCTTTTTGTCCCGCGTCTCACCACATCACAACTGCTGGAGACAGTCGGGGTTCATGCAAATCAGCAAATAAACGGAATTAATCACACACACGCTGCCAGTGTCGGTGGTGGAAGAAGTCACGGGTCTGTATTTGGCTGGGATTCATTAAAAAGTTGCTGATACGATACCGATCTCCATACATGAACCATGATATACTGTATTTTCCGCTCTATAGGCCACTCTGGATTATAAGGCGTCATTAAATGGTCTATTTTCGATCTTTTTTCACAAATAAACGGCACTGGACTTTAAATGAAACCCAACAGTGTGATGTGTGAGTGGTTTTGTTTGTTTGTTCGTTCACGGTGACTCTGGGCTTTGTTCAGTTGTGGCGTGTAGGGAGGGTGTGTCTGGGACCAACGGATTGTCGGCGTGTTCGCAGTGACTCAGTTGTTCAGTTGTGTCTAGAAGCGGCAGGTCGCGCTCGCTTTTTCGGTTCGTTCCTCCGTTTCGTTCCTCATCGGCGTGGAGTGATGAGTGTCTGTGGGTGTGTTTCTCTGTGCGGTCGCTGTCTGTTCCGTGTGTGTTTGTGGCTTTGTAGTTTACTGAAGTCGTACTGGGACACCTGAGTGGATTCGTGTATGGGGCGCTCTGGATTGTGGAGCGCGGTCGTTTTTTGATGGGGCTGGAGGCTTAAGAGCGCGTCCTATAGTGCTGAAAGTACAGTATTTCACATAGAGTCGTTATGTTTATATGTCGTAAAGTTGAATTTATTTATGCAGATTAGTGCAGATAGTAATAATAATGATGATCATTTTAATATAAAAACTTTAATGATTAATCGATAATCGATCGTTAATTCTTCCGACGATCGATTAAGAAAATTTCATCGAATGCCCGTCCCTAATTAGAACTTTATTCATCCACAAGTGAATTTACTTGGACTCCGTAGCTCACACATTGCAATATATTACAATAACTAAGAGAAAAAAATATATAAAAATGGTAATAAACTTTTAAATAAGCAGCAATAGAAAATGGCAATAGACTGTTGTCAATAAGATATAATACGCACCCATCGTATAGCACACGTCTGCTCAGTCACGCTGATTAGAAGAGCAAGACGAAACTAATAAAAATTTATGCTTCAGTGTCGGCACAGCAGACCTACAGCGTAGAGAAGACTTACTGCAATATATGTGCTGAAGTTTGCCTAATAAAATCGCAAATAAATCTGTGTTTGTCACATGTGCATTTGGTAAATGTGCAGTGGCTAAATCCCACTGTAAAACCAAAAAGACGGTGGAAGTTCTCTTAAAGGAGGGTTTCTCAAACTGTGGGTCAGAGTCTAAAAAAGGGCAGAGTGTTTCAGTGCAGTACAGTTTGCTTGCTTTAGTTTATGCATAAATTAACATTCATCAGATAAAATGGAGATAGATTTATAAAAACATTGATATATATGTGCCAAAATAAATTTAGAAAATGACAAAGATGGTCTTGATTTGGTCTTGATGGGCTGTGGTCTCGCTCTCGACCTTAAAGTCTCAGTCTTGTCTTGGTCTCGACTCTGAGGTCTCGGTCTTGTCTCGGTCTTGGACCCTGTGGTCTCGGACAGGTCTTGGTCTCGATTATTGTGGTCTTGACTACAACACTAGTAGCCTGATTCATCTGCTGGTTTCACTTCATACAAAGCGTGTGACCTCGCAGCATTAGAATTTGTTTGCTCGACTGTAGGCGAGTACTTTTTTTATTTAACTAATCCCTGCTGTTTAGTCGTGACATATGTAATGCTCCAAGTCCCGTAGGAAAAAGGGCAATAACGTCTTTCCCCTTGATAAAATTCACCAAACATTCTCTTTGTTCCAGTTTTAAATCCTTGATCTCGGGAATTGTTGCCAACATAGAGTCTGTCTCTTTGCAGATTAGCTGGTGCCTGAACTTGCACTTCCAGGGTTCTTGTAAATCGTCTAGTGCAGGGGTGTCAAACTCATTTTGGTCCTGGGGTCGTATCCAACCTACTTTGATCCCAAAGGGGCCTGATCAGAAAACTCATGTCATATAAACTCCAAAAATAACAATAAGTTCAAATATTTGTGCAGAGAAACACAAATCTATTACAGAAATCTTTTTTAATTAATGAACTCTTTCTTTTACAAAATATTATAATATTATGAACAACCTGAAACTTAAAAAAAAAAAAAAGCAATTTCAACACAAAGTTTTAACATTAACTTGTCTGCAAATTTGAATAAGTCAGTTTTTGTTGTAAAATCCTGCACTCGGCTCCACTTTTCTCAGTTTTGAAATTTTTCTGATGAGGGTGTCACGGTCAACAGTCAAAACGATCGTCCTTTAAGAGCGTTTGGAAAGAGACAAGTCTTCATTTGTGCTGCTCTGGTGGGAGGGGCCACGTACAGAGACGCTGGAGACGCTGCTGTGATAAACACCACAGAAAATTAACAAGATTTTAATAGAAAATACAATTAAAATATTTTAGTAGAAAATCAGCCAAGGGCCAGATTAAAGGTCTTGGAGACCCGGATCTGGCCCCCGAGCCATATGTTTGACACCTGTAGTCTAGTGTATTCTGATTCCTGACCTAGTTACTGGAGAGAAATGAAATAGAGCGCAGGCACTAGGTGGCACCAGCCTGACTACAACACTAGTGCATATACTGCTGAATCACCGTTCACCCTTCTCACCTTTTCCACCCTTGACCCATTTTCATGCCTGGTATTTAATTTCTTAATATAGTAAACCCATTTCTCCTAATATCTCCTGCGTTTGTCAGCGGAAAGTCTCAAAGAAAAGGTCACTCTCTTCCGTGGAGAATGTTTAAGTGTGATTTTGACTTTCTATTTCCATGGGAGCGTGCAGTTAAAAACTATTACTTTAATTTTGTTTAGTAATAATACAACAATTTTCCAGCAATTTCCTTTAGATAAATAATAACTTAACCCAAAATGCTTCTCAGGTGTTGCAGCAGCTGTACCAAAGTCT